TGGATTCTTGTTCTAGGTATTATATTCTACAAAAAAGTCCATTGCGTCGAGTTTGTAACTCCAACGGGTTCGACGTAAAATGTCATTTAAGCTGAATTTTCAGGAAAATAGTAGTAAATCGCGTTTATTTGCTAAACTATTGAAGATAAAAAAAATATGTGAATGACTAATTTGTAGGGGGGTTTATGCCCTACAATTTTGTTAAGAGATATTTTTTTGTAGCTCTTATGTTTAGCTGTTAAAGCTACTTAAAACTTAAAATTAACGAAAAAATCTATTTTTTTCAATAATAACTAGTTTATGATGAATTTCAAGTTGAAAAATTTGTTTATCATTGTATTTTTTGAAATTTTATGACAGTAAAAATTATTTAAATTAGTAATTTCATAACGATTACTACTTTTTGGAGTTCGAAACATTTAAAAAAATTTTTATGTAATTTTCACAGATAGATTATTTATGTTAGACTTTATATTTATGTACAACTCACTTATTATCATTCTTTCTATCAACTTTTTCACCAATACGTATTGCTTATGCTTGTGATCCATACTATAATTATGTTTAGAAAAAAGCCTCTTTAGATTAAATAACGATATGTAATTTATTGACATATTTTTTCAAACAATTTTTTAGAATACTTAATTAATTATCAAAAAAAAGCTTTAATAATTTTCAATTACACTCTATGTCGCTGGATAAGCTGCTACAAAAGCGCTTTTAGTGCAACTGGAAATCTTTCGTCTGTGATCTTTGGAACGCTTCACGTAATAATTATTTATCCGTAACTCCTATTTTTTCCCGCTTCACAGCATTATTTATATTTGTTAAAAATGCTAGCCGTAAGATGGACGGTGTGGCTTAATGTATATAGAATAAGTGAAAGGAAATTTAGTATAGACCGGATAGCTCAAATGGTAGAGTAGCCGACATGTCTTCGGAAGGTTCTGGGTTCGAATCCCAGTCCGAGCTATCTAATAATTTTTTCTCACATATTCTATACACTTGTTCTTTATACCTATTCTGTGTTTGGGTACGGTAAAAAGAACTTAGGACCAAGGGTCTGAGTTCGGTAAGGTATTCTTGTCCCTTGGTGGCACCGGGCTGGCGTGTTAGGTTAAGGGTAGTCGTCTCCAGGAGATCACCAACCTGGAAAGGGTTTACCTCTTATTTGACGCTCAACTGAAATTTTTTTTAAATCAAGTAAAATAGTTTTTTCTAAGAGTCGGCTGAGGTAGAGAAAGAGAGAAACATTAGGTGTATCAGGAATATTCTGGAGGTTCTGCTATAGCGAGATGTTTAAGCTAGGGGCGGCTATAAATTGAAAGATTTTTTTTATTAAGGATTTTTTTTTTATTTTATTTATTTAAAATTTTTCTTTCGTGAAAAGTTTTTTTTTTTTAAAAAAAAAAAAAGAGAACCTTTTCTTCAGAAAATTTTTTTTTGCAAGAAAATTTGTTTTTTTACGTTGAAGGTTAAGAATTTTGTTTTTTAGTTAATATTTCATTCTATTATTTATATAAATTAATTAATAAGAATTATTAAAAATAATACAGGGAAACCGCAAATCCACTCTTATAATTTAGATGAAAAATATGAAAATATATCATGTAAGAGCAAACTATTCGTAACGTGATTGGTCAAATATATCATAAGCATGAAAATATAGATAATTTCATATCAACATTCACACGCGCGCTTGCGCGCGCAACGTATACTAGTTATTTAAAATTTTACTTCGATTGATTATTCAAGATAGTTTTGAATCCTAAAGAATTGGAATCGTTGTCAATTTTAATAAACAAGGGAAACCTCAAAACAAGGGAAACCTCAAAAATTTGTTGAAGTTGATTGCAGTTTTAATTATCAAAAGATTCTGGAAAACTGTTTTGAATAGGTCTTTCAAGGTGAAATCAGGGAAACCTGAAAATAATTTGTAAAAATCTACACACGTTTTAGAATTTATTTAAAAATTTTTTTTTTCTGACTAAGAACTTCTTTTAGTATTATTTCTTTCTTTCAAGGCTACAAAAGGATTACCGTTTTTATTTTCAAATAATAGAGACGTTTAGTCATTCTTAGTAAGCTAAGCTCATTAAGATTGGTATCTCATCGACAGACCAAGAATTCCTGTAATCTGAGGATAATGAAATTTTGCCAGTGGTTATTTATAGAATTATATTTTATTTTATATTTTTTTCTCAAACTTAAATTATTTTCCATTTACTAATTAAGCTGATTTGTTCGAGGTACGAATGGACACAAGGAATACGAAGAGGTAGGTGCAGTCAAAAAACTATCTAATAGAAGAGATTATTTTAAGTCCGACGATGACGTCTGAAGAAGTAGCCCGCCAGACGGGCAAAGTTCTGCATACTCCGGTAAA